TTCTTCTTCTTCTTCTTCTTCTTCTTCTTCTTCTTCTTCTTCTTCTTCTTCTTCTTCTTCTTCTTCTTCTTCTTGATAGGGTTTTATGTAGCTCAAACTGGTCTCCAACTTTCCATGTAACTGAGGATAAATTGGCTCAGTGTGAAGTGAACTCTTTAACAATGTTTCAATGAGACCATGTCGGACTTGTCTTTCTGTGCCTTACCTGGTCCCTTGCAATCCACCATAGGTTTAGATCAATGGATCCCAGTTATGTCCCTCAAAGCTGCCCAAATACATGACCTACAACGTAAGTGTAACCTGCTTCCTTTGCTAGATTCTGCAGTGTGCCGTGCCCTGACCCTCAGACCTGGCGGGTGGGCAAGGTGCTTACTCAGAGCCTCCTTCGCTCAGCTTGGTGTGATGGCACTTTTAATCCTACCTCTCAGGAGGGAGAGGCAGACCCGGTTGACATATGGAGTTCTAGGCCAGCCAGTGTTACACAATAAGATCCTGTCTAAAACCAACAAACAAAAATGAAAACCAATAAAAAAAAATATCTATATATGTAAATATATAGGTATTAAAAAAACAGGACTGGGAATATAGCCTAGTGGTAGAGCACTTATCTAGAATGTATAAGACCCTGAATTTAGACCCTGGCACCACATTTAAAAGAAACAAGCCATCCAAGCATACTTGATTTTAGTTTTGGGGTTTGTTTGTTTGTTTGTTTTGAGACAGACGCTTACTATTTGCTCTTGCTGTCCTGAAACTTATTATGTGTAAATCATCCTGGCTTTAAAAAGATCTGCCTGCCGCTGCCTCTCAAGTGCTGAGACTAAAGGTGGGTGCCATCATGACCAGCCAAGCCTGACTGCTCAGCGGCTCAGCGGTTAAGAGAAAGTGCTGCTCTAGCAGAGGTTCGCAACATTCCCATCAGGTGGCTCACAACTGCAGGTAAGTCCGGCTCCAGTACCTCTAGCACCCTCTTCTGGACTCCAAGGGTACTTGCAGTCATAATTGTATGTACTCACAGAGAAACATACATATAATTAATTAAAAATAAAAATAAGCAAATCTTTACTTATGCATTTTATTTACATGAGTACTCTATTTGCATGGATGTCTACATGAAGAAGAGGGCATCAGATCCCATTACAGATGGTCATGAGCCACCATGTGGTTGCTGGGAATTGAACTCACGATCTCTGGAAGAGTAGCCAGTGTTTCCCAGCCCAAAATAAATCTTTAAAAAGATTTTCAGGTCTTGTTCTTACTATATAAACTTGATATCGATTGTTTGTTTATAAACACAAATCAATACCTTCTATTCAGGTGAACACATATAGCTTATTAAACACCCAATAAGTGATCTCTCATGATATTTAAGTGAATAATTAATGTAGCTATGATTATGTAATTTATTTTTAAAAGTAATTTAAAAGTTTTTGTGTGTACGGATGTTTTGCTTGCATGTATGTCTGTGTACCATGTTTGTGACTGGTACCCAAGGAGGTCAGAAGAGGGCATCAGATCTGGAACTGGAGTTATAGATGTTTTGTGAGCTGCCTGTGGATGCTAAGAACCATATCTGGGTTTTTTATAAGAACAGCTAGTTCTCAATTCTCTTAATTGCTGAGCCATCTCTCCGGTCCCTATTTTTAAAATACTCTCTTTAGATTTCTTTATTAAAAAAGATTTATTATATATGAATACACTGTAGCTGTCTTCAGACACACCAGAAGAGGGCATCAGATCCCATTACAGATGGTTGTGAGCCACCACGTGGTTGCTGGGAATTGAACTCAGGACCTCTGGAAGAGTAGCCAGTGCTCTTAACCACTGAGCCATCTCTCCAGCCCCCCTAGATTTTTTTGAGACATTGTTTCAGTATGTAGTCTTAGCTGCCCTGAAACACCCCCCTCCAAATATATATATATATATATATATGTATATATATATATATATCTCAAACTCATAGAGATCAGCTACCTCTGCCTCCCAAGTGCTGGGATTAACGTCACGAGCCACCATTACCCAGCCCTTTTTTAAGTTTTAAAAATCATATCTATTTATGTTGTATGTGAGAGCATGTATGGAAGTCCAAGAACCACTTGTGGCATTCACTTCTTTTTTTCCTCTATGTAGGTCCCTCAGGCTTGGCAGCCAGTGCCCTGAGCCACTGAGCCATCTCAGCAGCCCTGCAAAGCATTCTGCCATTTTGGAGTGAACCTGCACATGGTTCTCACTGTAAAAGGAGTTTAAGACCAGCGCGAAGAAAAGCCAGGAAGCTGCATTTTCCTCTCAGCCCCCAAGCAAGTATGTTGTTCTGAAACCAGAAATCCCATATGTGGAAGGGCATTCTCCAGATCCTGAGTTTGAGCCTCAGCAGAGAAGGGAGGAGGGAAAGAGACAGAGAGAAAAGCACTGGAGAAGAGCTGGTTGAAGGAATGAAAAATTGTCTGGCTGCACGAAAAAGGTCCTTTATTTCCGTTTCCCAACTCCATCCCTCTGATTTGAAGTGGTCCAAGGGATAACTGTCTGTCAGGCTACCCTTGGTCTGGAAATAAGTTTGTCCTGGATGGAAATCAAAGATGTATAACTTACACCAGAGATTTGTTCTCAATTTCATACTAGACTGTGAAGTACAGGAACTCTGTCTTATTGTTTTCTTTTTAAATTATTATGTTTTATTTATTTTTTGTGTACTGGTGTTTTGCTTGCCTGTATGTGTATCACACTTACATAGTATCCAGGGAGGCCAGAAGAGGGTGTCTGATGCCCCAGAACTGGAGTTACCATGGTTCATGATTCACTAAGTGGATTCTGGGAATCCAGCCCAGGTCCACTCTTACCCTTTGAGTAAGCCCAGAACACGTTCTTCTTAAGAAGAGAGGGAAAGAAAATGTATTCAAGACTCCAATAAGGACGTTGAGGGTGGTGGCACGTGCCTTAGATCACAGTACATCTAGAAGAAGGCAGATCTTGAGAATTCGAGGCCATCCTAGTCTATATACTGTGAAGCTCTTTAATAAATTCCAATAAAGAGCATTTTTAAGTTGTAAAGAACTTGAATATTTGTTTATTTTCTTTCTTCTTTCTTTCATTGTCATATTGCAGCCAGTTAAGGCCAGCCAGGAATGTCTGGTAATTCTCCTGCCTCAACATCGACTTTTGAGCTGCTGAAAATCTACAATGATTCATCTAGTCAAAAAACAAAACAAAACAAAACAAAACAAAAAACACCCTAAAAAACAAAAGACAAAAAACCCTAACAAAACTTCTTTTTTTAGCCCTGTGAGGCCAGGTTCATCGTATCCTCTTCTCTCCTGTAAGTTGCTGTTCTGCCTTTCTGAATACAGCCCAATCCAAGATGCGCGCAGGAAGCAGCTTCCCCAGCTGGGAGGATTTGGCCCATACTGAGAAGCAAAAGCGGCTTTCTAAACTCAATCGTCTTTCTTCTTTTCAAGTTCTCCTCCTCTTTCTCTCCAGAGAGACAACAGAAATAATTGATCCATCATCCGGTACCAGACACAGATTCCCATGCAAATTCCCTCCCCTCTCCAGACCTCAGAGTTACAATACTAGTGTGATGGGGGCGGGGGACGCATTTCTTCGGGCCACCTTACCTCACCCCTCAGCCAGGTGAGAAATGAGAGGAGAAATTCTCTACCACAACCCTAGCCTCCTCCGTCTCTCCAGCCACACACACCATCTTTCTGGTGTGGAATCACTTAAAGTTTGGGTAAAACTCCCTTTTCTCCCAGGAGATCAAATCTGGAAGCTTTTAGGAGGCGGAGCGGGAATGGGGAGGGAGAAGGCAAATTCCCCAAAACATTCGTCAGACCTAAGAGAGTCGTTTCTTTACTCAAAACTGCCCATCACCCCCGCCATTAACTTTCGATTAAGACCTCCTCCTTATGGCAACTAAACTTTACTTTGCATAATTAAGATTTTCCTCGGAAACGGGGTGGATTGAAACCTCAGCTCTGGGCCTTTCTCCTTCACCTCACCCCCCAACCCCCGCCCCAGCCCTGCAGCCTGGCCTCTGAGTTCCTGAATTTTCTCACTTTGAGGTGCCACTAAACACAAAGAACCATAATGGGCTCCTTTGTGCTCGCTATGGGGCAATTACACCCCGGAGTCCCGGCCCCTTTAAGAGCCTCTTAAAGAGACAGGCTCTCATTTTTCAGAGGGTTACTTTAGGGTGTGTGTAGGGGGAGGGGCAAGGAAAACTTCTAGGAGTCCTTATTTAGGGTGAAGTGACACTTTTACCTCGACTCTCTGAGAAGGGTTGAGAGACGTCTTTGCAAGCTATCTGCTTACGTGCTTTAAAAGCATGCACACATTTCTGTGTATATATATATATTTTTTTTTTAAACGAGATTTTTCACTTGGTTTTATAAACCGTACTGAAAAGGGGGGGGGGGAAGGGGCGGCGAGCAGGGGCAGGAGCAAAGAGCTCGTGTACCTAAGAGGGCTTGGGCTCCAGGGCCACAGATCAGGCTTGAGTTGCCTGAATCGGACACCACTTTGGGAAAACGTGTCTCCGGATCTTGCCTGGGCGACTCCGAAGAAATCGCGGACTGAGCAAACAGCTCCTAATATAATAATAGCTTGTCTCTTTAAAAAAGCAGGAGGAGGGGGTAGAGTTTTCTTGGCATCTGGTTTCTGATCTCATTATGTTGTGGTCGACCAATCCAGCCCTCGGGGCTGGTCCTCCAGTTTAAATCTGATTGGCCGAGAGCACATTTTGGGATGGTGCAAAGCTCGACGGGGCGGTTTCAAGGATCCCTTTTGAGGGGGGCTGAGGAGAGGGCGGGGCCGCCAGCGGGGGCCCCCTTGAAACCGACTAATTGGG